ACGTAGTAGTTAGTAGTAAGAAAGAAAGGAACGAACGAACGAGTAGTACTCTACTACTACACGTAGGAGTACACTACACACTAGAGAGATCTCTCTCTCTCTCTCTCTCTCTCTCTCTCTCTCTCTCTCTCTCTCTCTCTCAGTCTTACTTAAGGCTCAAGGCTCAATTCTAATCTTCTGGAATGGTCCTCTTTTTGGGGTATTTATCTATAGCGTAATTTGGGTAGCCCAAAGGTTGCCAAATCTTGGCCATTGATTCCTTAGGAAAAATCCTAGCCATTGGTTTGGCAGATTTGCATTTATGAGGAAGATTTTTCTAGGGAGAATTTATCGAGATTTTTCCTGGGTCTTTCTAGAGAAATTATATATAGATTTCCTTGGGTAATAATTCATCTTTGTTGTAGGTTTTTGTTGAACCTTCCAGATTTCTTCTTCTAGATTAGGGATGCATCACCTTTGAATCAGTTATCCCTGTAATACCTGCTTGATTAAGATCTTGTTACTTGTATGCAACTTCTCAAAAGACTTCGGAATAAACTACTCGTATAACAAGGATACAAACTTGTCAAAGGGCTTGCAATAAGTGCATTTTGTTGTCATGGCCCTTTTGGACTTCATATGCTTCCATGTGTCAAAAATGACAAAGCTGAACCTCCTCTGGTACGACAGCATCTACCCTTTCCTCCTGGTTTTTATCTATTTGACTTGCAGGTTGCTCCCCCCTGTGGTTTCTTGGAAGAAACCAAATCTTTTGAGGTTTTCTGATTTCAGTCTGAAAAACATTTATTTCCTTCTTACCTTCATTCTCTAATATCCCGCTCCAATTAACACACTTTAACCATTCCCTTTGACTGGCTCTTTTTTTCAATTTCACTACCCTCTGCAGTCTTTGCCATAAGTGAAGATTACACTTCTGCATTGTACAACAGTTTGAAGTAAATCTACACTCACTGCGTGCTTAATGGAATTTAGATTTGCACCAAATTGATCAAGGACCATATTTCAGTCCCATGGTTTCTGTTTCTTGTGTAAGTAGTTAACTTGATACACATATATTTGTGAGTGCTATATGTCTTGAACTAGGCAAAGGAAGTCTAGGTAGTTACAAGTATCTAGATATTGGTCCGAAGACCAATATCAGTTTGTAGTTTCGATAGCTCTAGGTTGCTACGATTAGCTAGGGGCTATAGGGAGCTAAAGGAAGTCTAGGCAGCTACGATTAGCTAGGAGCTCTAGGTAGCTGAAGGAAGTCTGTGTAGCTCCGATTAGCTATTTCCGAGTTAAACGGTCATGGCTTATGTTGACAGTTTTAAGAGAGACACTGCTGTTACTTTATTGTGATATCCTTACAGTTGTCTAACTCCACATTTCTCGATGGTATGAACCGCACATAAATGTGTGTAAAATTGGAAATATTCATTTAGGTTCAACATAATCTAGGTTCAAAAGCATGTTCTACTTGAGAGGTCTATTAACATTATGAGTATATTTAGTTAAATCCCGACGGAGGTAAATATGGAAATTTTAGGTTTAAACCGGGTTACCTCCTTATATTTGAAAACAAAAGTGAAGGATCTAGCTGTCCTTTCCTGGTAAAGCTCACTTTGATCTTGTAAAGACCCAAATAGAATGCTTGTGAATATGTACATGCAGATACAAGTACTCAGTTTGCATGCTTAGTTCTTAACATTGTGTGATTTATTAAACACATGGTTACTGAAAATTCGCTTTATGCATGTTAAATCATGCAAACTAATTGCATAAACAATATATGACAATATTTTGTTTTTATTGATTTATTTTTAGCTTTCGAAAGAAAATATCTTCTCATCCAAGCATCATATATTTGTAAAAGACTCGTTAAGAAAAATCCAGTATAACATATATAAACTATAATCTCATTGTCACATGTAAATGTAATATAAAAATCAGCATGCTATGGTTTGTTCTAAGTTACTTTCATGCATGTGGATTCATGCTCAGCATGCAATCACTAAAATACATTACAAAAATTAGATCAAGTACAGAAACGTGATAAAAAAAAAAAAGAACAGTAATATAAATAAGATAAAATCTATCAACTTAATGTTTTAACTAAGGAATCCTAATGTTGAAATTAGGTCTTACAAATTGTACGGACCCTACATGATTTTACAATAAATCTTTTCTTTTGTAAATATCAAAACTAAAATGAGGCTTTTGTAGATCTTGGATTTAAAACCAGATCAATAATATCAAGTTTTAAATTCATGAGAACTTACATAAATCTTAGAATTTGAAATATAATATAGAAGGGAATGATATGACTGAAAGGCAAGTGCTTCAACAATCAACAGATCTCCACCCTCTTATCATAACCCTTTTAATTTTATCATTATCTACTAACTACACAAATCCTATTCAGATTTACAGATACAAAATAATTGTTACTTAGAAATCATACAGCTTTATTAGATCACAATCAGTTCTTGGGTTTGCTACATGCGCCCAGGGGCTGGTTTTGGTATGTCTTACTCTGTCCTTACTATATATACTATGACAGTACTGTTTATAGTTAGTAGGATTTCATGTATGTGAATAGAAACTAGCAAGCAAAGCTTAAAATTACTTGCATTTAAGATCTTCATGGACTTACTCAATAGAGATGCTGGACTTGTTCTTAACTACCCAAGAAAAAGATGTTGGGCTTGGTCTATGGAGAGGTAGGTTTTGGCCTCTCTCTTCAAATCTCCAAAAGATGGCACCTAAGGTGTGGTCCACTTACTTTGTCTCCCCACTTTGATTGGATCTAAATCGCGTAAGTATTGAGAGGGGTGTGTGACCAGACCTCTACCCCAATTATAATATTCATTAGACAATGATACAAGTGCCCCCAGCCTTTTGAGGAAAACCCACCCAGAAATAGGTGTCTCTGTCTAATATCTTAGATGTGTCTTGTATCTGATAAAGGTCAAATATCTCGAATGTCGCTTTATCAATATCCACCATTAGTCCCAAGATCTTGCAAGCCTCTATCATGCCATGTTTGTCCCTATAGTGCCCACCCCTGCCATTGACAACCCAATAAATGACAAGGGAGGCCCTTTAGTGCACAAGTTCATGTACAATTACAAAAGGATTCTTGCAAATATGATTCGCCTCCAATGTTATGTGTAGGCAACGTTCAAGAAGGCGGATGCGGCCACCTAGGCATTCAAGGATTTGGGCCTAGGTAGGCACCCAGACACATAGGCAGCCTGGATGATTCCTGTTTTTTCCAGCCTAAGTTGTACTTCAAGACATTATCAAAGTGATTTACAGTTGACGAAAGGAGTGCAATAAACTAATATAGCTACTCATGGTTACTTACATACAGACAATTCAATCCTACCATTTTTTGGTTTACTAATAAATTAATATAGCTACTCATGGTCATTGTTACATGCAAAAAGCTTTTTAAGACAAGTGGCATAAAAGTCTAATTGTTCCATATACTGATTAAAATTGAATTATTACTATTTTTTGGTTTACTAATAAATTAGTAATTATTGTTACATGCTAAAAGATTTTTTGACAATTGGCATAAAAAGGTGCAGGTCAAGGCGGCGCCTAGGCATCCGCTTTTTACACCGTCTAGGTGGGCGTGTAGATGCCACCTAGTCCACGACCAGGCAGTTTGGAAAAAAGGCCACCTAGGTGGAAAGGCGCCGAATTTTCCTTCATTCTTTGCAGGCAGTCTGAATTTCATACGAAATGAACACAAATCCTAGAAACCCTGAAACAACCTACTACTGAAAGCATTGTTATCAGATTCCCTTCGCTTTGCTTCACATCACTTTGACGAAGAGGCCGAGGTCTTTGGGTTTTACTCACAAGCTGGATTGAAGTGGATTTGAAAACACTTTCCTTGGGTTGATTTGGGTTTCTTTGGGTTCTTTAACTTGTTGACTGAAGAAAGGTTATCTTCAGTCTCTTTGGAAGAATCGCAGTAGGGTAACTTCAATATTTTGTTATGTGTTGTTGGTAATTTTAAACAATATAGAAGGGAAAAATACTGCTCCAAACGTTTAAGAAAAACAAGAGCTCTTTGTCTCACGATTGACAGAAATAGGTGTCTCCGTCTAATATCTTCGTACAAAGATACGGCCGTCATGCACCTCCTGGTGTGAGCTGCTAGAGAGATCTGTCATGATGCAGCCCTTAGTGCCCTTTTTTGTTGGTAATGGTAATTTTCGTTTTGAAATAAGTTCAAACAAGTAACAGTTAACTTACTTCAAATAAAATTTACTACAAAAAAAAAGAAAAAAAAAAGAAAGTCCAAACATGTACAATGAGCATGGTGCTCGCTTCAAGAAGATGCTGGTATGACATCTTGATGACCCTCGAACCAGACACATCACCATTGACTAGTGTATCAACCTCTACATTACCTTTCTTTAAACACAATGAATTGAGATAGGTCGGAAGGAGCAAATATTCACAAAATCATGGATAGAAAATAGAAATTTTGGTTATCATTGGAAAGATATTTCAAGAATGGTTCCTTTTATTGCAATCATGACTTGTATTTCTCGAGGCCATGATGGTGCACGTATTCGAGCCCAAACGGACATTGGAGTTAGCTTTATGGATGAGTACAAGGAGGCATACAGTTTTTCACAGTTTTTCTGTTGTCTGTATATCAAGTTTGTCTTGCATGTGATTAGAATCATTAGGAAGACGCATATATTCTCTGTATTCATGTGAACATGCTTTATTTTTATAATAGTTTCTTTCTTGTTAGCGTCCTACTTTTACATTATTTTGATGTAGAATATATATGTTTTCAGCTTGCACAGATGAATGATGCCGACATGTTGACCCTTGTGATTCAAGAGATGAGCAAGGTTTTCCCTTCTTTGATGGAGACACTTGTGTTTGAGCGTGATCTGTTAGTATAAATTCCTTACCCTATCAGGAACTTATTTGTGTGCCTCTGACTGAATTCATTATTGTTAAGGAATGTTTCTTCTATGTATGTTGAACTATACTTTTCAGTTAATTTACAAGTCATAGGAAAGGTGCTTTGATCTTTTAAAGTAGTTCAGTTCTTCATTACGATGACCCTTCCATTCAGCTCTTTATCAATAGACAATTCTGCTTACTGTTATAGGGCTGACCCCTGCAGACATTTAGCACTACATATTATGTTTCTACTGATCATATTTGAAAGCTCCTTTGTAATGTTGATATTCATATTCAAAGCATGTCTATCATCTCTCTACCATTCAGGAGGGCTCTTTTTTCAACTCCCATATAATTTCTATTTGAACATTTTAGTAGCCTTCTTGGTGACATGCTTGAAGTAGGATTGAATATTGTGGATATTGAGTTGCAAATTTGTGACTGGCATAACTACTGAAATAGAAGAAGTTCCTCAAACAACATCTTGCTGACAATACTTTATGCATGCTTTGTCAGCATGAAACCAGAAGATGGGGTTTACATGGAGCATCACTGTGAAGGCAAGAGGGGCTCATGCTACCTGGAAATCCTTGGTAGCAGTTAAAAATAATCTACGGCAAATTAAAAAAGAGAAAAGGAGGAAGTAGAA